ATAATTTTTGCGTTTTGTTTTTCGTTTTTCTTCTTCCCCCCCCCCCCCCCCCCCCCCCCCCCGTTGCGTGTTAGAAAACCAGAACAAGAAGCTGGAACGCTCTGAAGAGCTGTGGGGTTTTTCCACTATAAGTCCCCCTTTTCACATTACATAGACATTTGGTCTGTTTATATATTTAAAAAAATGTTGATTACAGCTACTTTAAAGTAAACAACCTTTAATCCAAGTAATCCAGGAAAAAAAATTGCTTCTACCCCTCGTAACTCAGGAGTTTTTGGTTGAAATACTGAGAACTTCATGAACAGCCATGAGTTAGGATTGGTGGATGTGAATCTCCAGCCCAATTTACTTTACTTTAATACAAACCTTATAATTACTTTACTGTATGTTCCCATGGAAACACAGCTTGGTGTTTTCAGTATAGTTTCAGATGGTGATGTGCACCTTCTCTCATTGCTTAAGACCAAACACATCCCTCACCCAGTATTCTTATACAACTCCTACATACTGAAGATGAAATCCAAGCACAAGATTTAATTTGCATTAAAGCTCAAGTGTGTTTTGCACCCCACCTGCTCTGCTGGTTGTTTACGTCATGCTGCATTGACAATTCAGTGCAGGGCCGTGTAAGGGCCATTATGGGTTTTGAATACGCCTGTAATCATGTCGACAACAGCGATGAAACTGCTATGAGTTTCCAATCTCTCGGAGATTATTATTGTTATTACGCTGCCATCAAAAACATAATACAACAGGACTGCTCTCTCATCCATGATCAACTTTCCTCCCCGTTGTCTGTGAGTTCTCTACTGAGCATTGCAGTTGGACAGGATCCTCCATCAAAGGCCTTCATCAAATTGTTTTACATTCACATTGTCAGAGTGTGCATTTAATAAAGTACTTTAGTGGTTCTGGCCCAAAAAAGTAAAAAGAATAAGAAAAGAAGATCCGCAAAAGACCCGCCAAGAAATAGTAGCACCCATCTGAAGCCGAAAAGATGAAGTGCTGATGAATATTAAAAGCATGAGAGACAGGCTTTAAGAAAATTAGTTTCAACTGGATTTGCAATTACTGTCAACGCAGAAGACGCTTTTATACCCTTCGATTTAATTGGTGGTCGCTGTGTTAAAACAACCTGCAGCTTTTATTCAACTCCAATGGAGCTATGAAATGATTTACTCATAATTAGAAAGGATGAAACACCTCTTAATTACACATTATGTCTGAATAATTTCCCAAAGTTGTACAAATGGAAGCATAATCACAGTCAGAGTACATTTTTTTTCTGATTCGGCATTAGAGAAGTTTAATTTATCGGCTAAAACAAACAATGTCACGGTCAAATAGTAGGCCCCTTATTGTTTTTGTAATGGCCCTCAAATACTCCGCAGAGCCGACGTCTCAATCGGCTCACATTACAAAAGAACCAGAGGAGTCTGAAGTCTCCCATTAGGTCTCTTGTTCTATCCAGGGCTTGCAGGTAAACCTTGTCGGAGTTTCTGCTGTCCTCTTAAATTAGCAATAAAGAGGACCCTGATCAATTTACTGTGCAGAATTAGTTCCAGTGGGAGTTGGGACGAGGATGAAATCAATGGTATTCAAATGAACACCTCCCACACTACAGCAAGCGAGGCGTTTTCTTGAGACTACAGTTATTCTCCCTGTTGTAAGAACAGATGCTGGGGTAAAGTCTCGAGCTGCCGCTTCTCACATCTTTCTCCTTTGACGCAAATCTTCTACACTATTCGATGTCTTTTAAGTGAGGCAGTGTAGGTGTGGCGCTACAGCCGACCTCCCACACTCACCTCGCAGCAGGAACACACTGCTTACCCCCAAGGGCCTGCTTGATTGGCTAAAACGTGTATGAATGGTATCTGTATAATCTGAGCTGTGAAATGATTCATACTCCATTACCTCCACCACAGAAGAGTTAGCATTTGACAAGCTGAAGCCGCTGTTAAGCTGAACAGCTGCACATTAACTTCTGCACACTGTCCTCTTGAAAGACACTCTGTAGAATGTTTTAAACGGTAAGCTCAATACTAGGATTTATTTCCACCAAATTTGGAAGAGTTGCACTCTCTTGGTGCTTTTTTAATATAATTTCTTTTTTGAATACAAAAAATCCATTTTACAGAAATAACCACGTTCACCTTTTTCACATAAAGTCTCTTCCCTCCTCCACGGCTTTTTTTCTAACAGTTAGATTCTTTTTTTCACCGACTAGAAACCCCATGGAGGTATATGGAACCTGGTGGGAGTTTGGAGTTGAGCCCTCAGCAACAAAGGCAATTATAGCAGGCGTTTCAAACTAATGGATCTGACTGAAGGCTCAGACTCTCCTTTCCTGAATCACAACTGTGTTCTCATCCTCCACAAGCTCCGACACTTCTGACCAGCGCTCCCCACACGCTGGGCGACCTTACAAAACTGCTGCAATTAAGAAATGCCATCACTTCTATATTGTGCGCTGCACTATGTCTATAGCAGATGTACAAAGGTAGACAAGCACTTAGCATTGATTACAGTATGCTGGTAGAATCTGAAATACGACAGGGATTGTTTATTCTTTGCAGTAGAACTGGCCATTTAAGTGAAGCCATTTAAATATTAAATATATCTCTGCATGTAGTACAGCATACACTCAGGCTCTCAGTGGAAAACCCATTAAACCACACAGCCGTCCTCATGTGTCCACAGAAAATCTTTTCTAATCAGAGAAAATCAGACTTACTTTCATCGGAGCCCGTGTTGTCCTCCATATTTTTGATGTAGTCATCCTGGAAAGAAAATGTATTTGCATTAATGGATTTAATATTTGATTTTAGGAAATATGCTTTCTTTATGCGAATTCAGAAAACTTAAATAATGAAGAAAGATTACAGAAACTTTGCTAACGACTATGATTGTAGCAATTCAAATACATTCAGCTGTTATGTTGAATAGATGGGTTTTAAAAAGCAAATTTCCACAACACAAAAACCTTCAGGAGTTTTTTTCTCAATCGAAGGTTAAATTAAGTTAATTTCTGTGAACATTTTTACTCACCACATATTCTGTTATCTTTATTTCGATCTTTGAGTTAAAGTAAATAATAAGAACTAGAAACAGAAGTGTAACCAGGGGCTTACAACCCCGAGACATAACGACTCAATGTCAAAAAGAGATTCAATTTCCCACTCAGGCATGTCATTCATCGCCATCGCTGTCAAGGTTTTACACTTTTACTGATGACATTCAACTATTCTTTCCAACATATATATTAAATTACTTTAAGTAATGAATGGATAAAAGTTTGCCAGAATAATAGCATACATAACTACATACTTTGTGTTACTTCTATCCGTTTTTGATTTATGTTGCAGTTCTACCATTTCCTTTAATGCTGCCGTGACCTTTCTGTCTTTTATCTGCTCTGGTTTTTCTGCTGCTTTATTTTGCTAGTTTTATAGTCATATACTGTCACTGTCAAATGTTCAGAGATTTAGAACTTTTTACATAAACTCAAAAAGGTAATAGTTTGATGTTTTGGAAAATTTGCTTATTGACTATCTTGTCGAGAGTTAGATGAGAACATTGATACCGCTCTCTTGTCTGTATGCTAAATGTGTAGCTGGAACCAGCAGACGATTAACTTAGCTTAGCACAAAGACTGAAAACAGGGGGGAAACAGCTAGCCTGGCTCCGTACAAAAATACGTTTTACACTTTGGTTATGGAACAGATTAGAATGACAGATTAAAGAAATATACGGTTTAAATTAGTGAGATTTAGACGTGCAGATATGGATTTTGTTACGTTTGTACAAACCCAGGCTAGCTGTTTCTAGTTGTTATGCTCAGCTAAGTTAAGCTAAGCAGCTTCCTAGTTAGCGTACAAGCATGAGCGGTATTGATCTTCTCATCTAATTCTCAGCAAGAAAATGAGGAAGAATATTTCCCAAAATGGCAGGCGGTTTCTTTAAGTGTTGTATTAGAGTTATTGTGGATGTCGTTGTAGCTCTCTAACATTAAGTAAACTGCAAAAAGACTTAGAGCATCTTATAAAAAAAGACCTGGACTATCTGAGCCCCTGCACTGTGGCAGAGGGAATATTTGAAAACTAACTCTGGTTTTTAGATTGTGTCCCTGGCGAGGTTGCGCTGGAACGATGATAAAAATTCAGTGTCCCCCTGTTGCCCATTTTGCTCTGTGTGTCAGGACAGAGAGGATCAACGATAAAGCGGTTACTACACGGGGCCCAGAGAGGCCTCTGAGGATCAGGTCTGTTCAGTTTAGCTCAGTCTTATTCTGCTCAGGGGACACAGGGACTGAACTCTCAAGTCAAGCTCAGTATAGCTGACGGCATTTTAAATACTATGCACAGGGTGAGTAGTTAAAGGGATAGTTTTGTGTTTTAACTGAAGTGAATTGATATCTGCAAGTCTAAAAAGAACACATTTTCATTTATGAACCAGACCATATATTCTTTTGATATCAATATACTTCTTACTTTCTAGGAAGCAGTAGTTTGCATTTGGCTCTTGATGTAGATTTGATGTTATTTATGTTTTACATGTTACTGTCTCCAATATCCTTTGTCTTTGTGTCGTTGTATTGTATGTATTTTTTTCGCGCTTTAGCTAAGTTGAGCTCTTTAAAAAAAGCAGGTGACACCTACAGTACAGCCAAAACAGACACAGACTATGTCACTGTACAAATGGACAAAAGAGACACTAACCTCGACTTCCTGTGGCAATGACAAGCAGCAGCGGGGGAGAAAGAAAGAGAGAGTCATTGTTAGCAGAAAGAAAAAAAAAAACACTTAAAAAGTTCTCATTTTGCTTCCATTCAGCATGCAAACAGTGGGTTGGTTTATTACAGTTATGGCAGCAGTTAAAACTGTCAGCCCTTAATGCACGCTGATTGCAAATACATGCCATAGTCTCGCTCCTCTTGGGGGACAACATAAGACATTCACAGAGGATTATGGGAGACTATTAAGCGAGGATGATCCGCTGCCACTTCTATGAGCTGGCAGGGGTCCCGATCTCTAAGGGCTCATTCTGTGGCTGTGTTTACAAGCAACTGCCAAACGCCAGCCTCCTGCCAGCTCAGAAGTCGTGGATAAGCCATGACATACCGCGCTTGCCATTGGAAAAATACAGGCAAATTGTTGGGAATCTTCAAAGTCAACAGGCAGATGTGATTTAGATGTTTTATTTTTATGGTTGCAGCAGGCACATAAAGCGCATTTACTAAGCGTACCATTGACAACACAGACAGATATAGCTGCTGTAAAGTATAACCTTGAGTTAACAGGGGAGTGACTGCTTTCCTTTCATTCCATTTCACCGTCTTGGCTTCGGTCCAAGGGCATTACACATCAATACCCACCGCAGCCCCTCTGCCTGTGTGTTTCATCATTCAATGCTCCGGTGTGTTTTGAGAGAAATATAGCACTGCATGGTTTATTTCAGCAACTCAACCCAGTAAATAAACCTAATTCTTACACACACACACACAGGCTCACACACACAGACATACCTGTCTACTTAATATATCACTATGAACAATTTACTGGCCGCACAAGGACAAGCCAAAAACCCTGCGGAAGGCTTTAAAAGGCTAAAGTAGGAATTCATCACCGAGCTGCAGCAGGAGTCTAGATTTCACCTCAGAGACAGTTTCTTGGAGGTAAGTATTCTCTCTGTAGCAGTGAAAAGGTCCAGGTGCAACAAAACGAGAGGCGATATCACTGTTTTATCTTTAAAAATCTGCTGGATTTCAGTGATATGAGAAGAAGAAAAATAAACTTTAAATATGTCACATGTAATGTAAACACCTCCACTGCTGAAAATACCTGCTTATTTACATGGCATTTAAAAGGTTATAGCTGTAAGACTGAACTTTCAAGGTAACAAAGCAATATAAAGAATCAGAATCAGGTTCATTGCCAAGTTTTCACATACAAGGATTTTGCTTTTGTGTATTTGTGCACAACAAGAATATAAGAGAAACTTTAATTAAAAATAAAGCAAGTATTGCAAAAATATAGAAACATAAATATCGAAGAAAAATAAGATGATGAAAAAATACTGTAACAAATGTACACAATATATCTGAATTAAAATGAAATAGCTGTGCAGTTTGTACAAAACAAAGAGAGACAATATAATTGCTAAGTCCTTAAATCAGCCACAGAATCGACTTCTGCAAATACTGGAAAAAATGTAGAGTATCGTAGAATCCCACAAAATGACCGCCCTCATCATCAAAGATACGACTGTAGTATGTCGTGTGTCAGATGTAACGATTACTTGATTAATTATTCGCACTGCCTCTGCAATTACCCAGCTCACGGTGCTGCAGTGGCCGGTGGGAGTCCTACAGCGCGTCCTAAAGGCTTGAGTGCTTATCTTCTCCTAACAGCAGTGTGACAGCAAGGACACCAGGCTGAGGCTGCATTTAGTCCTTCACCAAGGTTGAGAGCTAATGCTGTCCCACTGAATCCCAGCCAGGCTGCTGCTGAAGTTCACAGCAAGCCCAGACAAGAGGGAGGGGGGGGGGGGGGAGATCAGGGAGTAAGGGGGTATGATATTCATGGTGGAGCTCCCCTGAGTTATGTGAATCATATCACACACGCCACCTCTTCTGCCATTTGTCAACAAGGCTGTATCGCAGCCGGTGTAAAACAGAACCGAGAGGCTAATGGAGCTTGACTATCCAGATGCTGCAACTGCTCCTCCTGGACCACGCGCTGGTATTAGGCTGACAGCGCTTTGGCCGCAAGCCTGACCGAGCTCCTCCGAGTTAACATCTATCTCACCAGGACCGAGCCCCGTTTGCTGGTGACATAAATACCACAGATGACCCTGAACCAGCCCAACCCCAACGTCACCCCCTGCAAAACACCCGTACACACACACCCATCCCCAGCATTGACACCAAAATGTTCATACACATCGCAGCTCTGCATGACAGCCGTAGGGGGAAGTCTTAAACCGTTAAACTGCATGTCTGTGTCGTGTTGTGCAAGGAAATTGCTCTGCTGTTGAGAGTGTGTGAACTTTTGGAGTAATGCTCCAATTCTATACTCAGTATTGGTCTGAAAATAGCAGAAACACTGGATCGGATACAAACAAAACCCATATAAAATAAAACGTTAGGGATGCCAAGGTGGCCTAGACAGGCATGAAAGTCCAGAAGACAATTCTGCAAAATCCTAGATTACACTTGAAGAATTTGAAACAAATTGGACCTTTCTACACTATCTGGCTATGGTTAGGGAAAGATTCTGGTTATGGCACGAAACAAACAAACGTGGTTAAGGTATGGTCAGGTTTAACTAAAACACTTGGTTAAGGTTAGAGAAATATTGTGGTGAGGGTTAATAAAAATACAAACATTGGTCTCTGGTTTCCTGCATGAACGTCAGTCGTGTCATCCACCACTCCGACTTCCACTACGTCACTGTCTTGCGTTGGCACTGACAGTTAGAATCATGTAATACAGACACAATTCGTAGGGATACGGAGCTGGGTCAAACATGTGTACCGCATAACTTCAAACGTGTTGGAAGCTTCAACGAACTTGCAGAGGCATCGTGAAAATTGTACGAGCAAGAAAAGTTTTGCCGGAACAGAGATTGTTGAAAGGTGCGTGTTGTGTGAGAAACTCCCTCTGCAGACTGTAACAAAGCAAATATTTTTCTGGATGACCAATCATTTTCTGCATTTGAACAGAGCTGTTTTTGATCTTTTGGACCAAGTCAAGTCATTAGAGGGGTTAGAAATCCCTCTAATGTCTTTCAATGCCAAGATAATTCATCATTAATTGGTAGGAGCATTATACTAACACGTTTAGCTTGATAGTCTTTTGTTTTCTTTTGTCATCACACACCTCTCTAATGTCTTGTTTAACAGGGCAGACGGCGTAAAAATAGGTTATAGCTAATAATTAATAGAATAGACAAATGAAAACATGTTAAAGTTACTGTAGGGAAGTGTTAACTGGTTTTGAAATAGTCTCAAGTTGATACTGATGCCTCATATGACCCAGATAAGTAAACGAAACGATCAGTGAGAAGATACAGCCCCGATTTACTCCGGCTGTGTGTGTCCCACTTCTCGCCAAAATTATTTTGAAATTCGTGAAATTTAATTTTTGCCCATGCAGCTTGCGAGATGTATGATATTCCATCATGTGAGCAAAGTCAACAATAATTATAATGTGATTTAAAAAACAATTTTTGAGCCGTCTGTAATGTTTACATGTGTTTATCCTGCTTAAATCTTGGAGGTCAAGTGCAAATCACAGACGACACCCCGCATCCTTGAAATCTCTTAATTAAACGTGGAATGATGAGGGAGTATCCGTCTCCGAAGACACAACACAAAAACAAGCATACAAGTCGAAGAGACGCTTGTGGGCTCTGAGTGTTGGAGCTGAGAGCCGCCAGAGCACGACCTCTCTTCAGCTCGGTGGAGAAACGCTCACCGAGTGAAAGGAATGTCACAGTGAGAATCTGCATCTCCTCGCCCTGCTGCAATGATCCATCACGTGCATGCACACCGCTCGCTCCGTCACTGCGGCTCATCTGTCCCTGCAATGTGACGGGATCTGTTCAGTCCGGGTTTCTGGAGGACGCCGACACACACAAACCTAATTCTAACCTCACACACCTCTTGCTGCTTTCGAGAAAGTGCTGGAAATAGAGGAAACATTTGAAATCAAACCAAGGTGGATGTCAAAGAATTCTTGAAACGACAGGATATTTCACTTGTATCACAATACCTCCATACACACACACACACACACACACACGTATAGTATATATCAGATAACGATCAGAGTAATCTCCTCTACAGCTGATATGATGATAAGCTCCTCTCTTATCACAGAACAGATCATATTTCCTAACCTAATTTAGAGTGATCACATTGTTTGTGGATTGATTCATATCTATGACTCTGTATCCAAACAGCTTCTTCCAAAGAAATAGGTTGTCCTGCCTTATAGGATTTCTGAGTTAGACGAGAACATCAATACCACTTGTCATGTCTGTACAATACATATAAAAGATATAGCAGCAGGTTAGCTTAGTGTCAGGTCTTTAAATCCCCAGATTGCTTTAGTTCAGAAGCTCTGAGTAACAGATGAAGTACCTGTCCCTCAGGGCAATAACTGCATGCTTCATCCTTCACAATATCCCATATTGATATTCTAAGGACAATATTTGCAGTGAAGACATCACTTAAGCAGCAGAGATTAAATGATGATCTGGACATTTAGCATTTCCACCAGTTGTCATCTATCTGGCTCCATGAAGTCATTTGCTCCGGCAGCGACTGGATGAACACGGGCTGATGGATGGACTGGTGATCATGAACGGAGACCTGCGAGAGGCTCAGCTGATCGCTCCGCTCTGGTCCTGGGCCGTGTCATCCTATCAGATCACTGAGGGGTGTCTGCCTCTCTCTGACTGACAGGACATTGTCAGCTCATCATTCCCCCCCCCGGCCAGCCATTTGCCCAGTGATGTGCTTTGCCTGATTAATGTAGCCGAATTAGCCACGTCTCCCTGCCTACCATAAATCGTTGCTAAAGGGCACAGAGGCGGAGGCTGTCGTGAATCTACATTCCGCCCTCCGTGTCTCTGTAGTTACCAGGGAGCAGCGGGAGTGCATCTCGCCTTTGCCATGTCATTATGGCGCCTCGATTCAGCTTGCCGGGGCCTCAGATGCGGAG